TGGCCGTTATCTTATAAATATTGTCTTATACCGTATAACGGGTATTTTCTGCGGTTGGAAATTTTTGCGATTTAACCCCTAAAAGATAGCAAATTTATTTCTGCGTTTTCAATTTCTGCGGTTGCATTATACCGCAAAAAATTATTTACTGGGTATGATCACCAATCTCTTAGAATTATCAGATAGCTGCCATGTTCACGTTTTATAAATTCATTGAGACATATTGATCAAAGTTGCATGAGAACTGGTATCAAGCTATTAAGCTTAATTAAACTACTAGGCTATCTTTCAGTTAGTCTTTGCAAAATTATGTTGAGTTCCAAATGAAATGAATTATTGCAGTATCGGTTCACCCAAACAAGAATAAAAAAATCTTCATTCTATACATTGTAACAAACGTCTTATGCGATCTATTAAAATATTTTAATATATAGATAATTAATGCATCCAAGCCACATTTATAGTTAATTGCCATCAAAATTAATCTGGTGTTTATATTTTAAGCTCAAACAAACAGTTGCATAATCAAGTAACCTAAAGTTGACCGTGTACAATCACAGGTGCCAAGTGCATTGAGGCGTAACTAATCCTGTCAGTCGTCTGCATTGTGTGAAATTCACGAGACAATCAAGCCACTTTGTGTATACAAGCAGTAATTGTGGTCTCCAGATAAAACACAAGATTGAAAAAAGTGTTAAAGAAAGAAAGAAAAGCTACTATGTGTTGTTTGCAGCTATCGGAGTTTGGACTATTAATTGCGAAATCTCTTTTAGTCATTTACATGTTCATGTATATCCGCATAAAATAAAGAAGTAGGTACAAGAAAAGATGTTTTTGTATAAACTTATTAAATTGATATTATTTACAGCAACGTTTTAATTCAATATGTTTTGGAAAAATCCTGATATCTAAAATCTTCAAATTTCGATGACACCCGAATTTGCTCGCTAACGAGGACATAAGCATCACTTATCATACTTGCATGTATAAAATATATATATATCTGAAGAAATATTGAAAAATATTTTGCGATTGTAATTTTTGCTGATTTGTCCTATCCGCAAAATTCCGCAAAAATTGGACAACCGCAGAAAATACCCGTTATACGGTAAGTTTGTCAAACACAAACTAGGAATCAGATTCATTGTTAAATGGAACAGATAAGATTAACAAAATAAATGCATTGAAGTGAAAGTAATAAAAGGATTGTAATATAAAGCATTTATGACTTTTTAAGAATGAGTCAGTAAGATTAGTAATTAGAAATCAGTAAGATTCATTGGTTCAAATACCTTATAGGGTTTACAAAATTCTATATAATCAATTGTTTGTGTTTGATATCATTTGTGAAAAAAAGATAAAACGCCATGTCAATTTTCTTGATTATAATTGCTTCATCAGTTCTGAAACTAATGGAAACTAATACTTAATAGTATAATAAAAATTTAAGTCGGGCGAATATATAAGGTAAAAATTCTTATTTAATGAAGAAACTCTATTATGAAATTATGAAATAAAGCAGATAAAGAGATTTTAATGGACAACAAAAGAAAAGATCTATACGAAAGGATTGCATGCAAACCATTCGTCTTAGTTCTAACGAATTGTTGAATACTTTTAACAAGACAAGTAGTCTACAAAATAAGTTACACGACAGACTAGCTCAGGATTTTTAAAACACTTTAAAGTCTTTGCATATCAATATAATCAATTTATCTAAAAATGAAGCATAATTCATAGATGTACACATTGCTCATTTGAGGATAATTCAGTGATGTTCTTATTAAAAACAAAGATGACAGAAAGTAAGAATAAGTGTACACCACGTGTTTAGGCTTTCCGCTTCACTAAACTACTTCATTACAGAAGCTGTCAAAATGTAATAGAATTATGAACAGAAGAACACATTAATGAAATATGGAGATAATGTTCAAGTTCAAAGTCCATTTAAACAAAACAAATCGGGAGCAAAGCAAACAGGGACCTCCAAAAACATCAGAGGTGGGATCGTGTGCCGTGACAACCTTACTGTTAGAAATGTGACAAAAAGTCAATGTTAACACCTCTCCAATGTTAGACAACCTCCTTATCAGATATAAGATGTAATACTGGTATTACTCTTCGTTTCTTTCATTAAGCACACAGAAACTGTCTTGGGTCTGTACAGGAAAAGTTGTCTAGTCCTCCTTTGTTACACCACTATCCCATGTTTAGATCGACTCCAACACAGCCGGTGTTTCTTTCCAGCTGATCGGGACACCATCCTTCTGTAACTGAGGTACCATCAAACCAAACTATAACTATCGATGATGAGTGTTGTGAAACAGATGGCTCCAGCAGATAAGGCTTGTAAGAGTATCGTCTTTGTTTGTAAAGCCCATTTCTATAACTGCATTTAAGAAGAACTTTTGGCACATTTTTTCAGCTCTTCAAAGTATTTTTATTTAAATATTTTGGATTTCCAACGTTTCGGCTTGAGAATCACTGAAGAGACATAATTTCTCGAAATGCATCTAGTGCATCAAAATTGGTACCATATATGATTTACATTTTAATTCTACGTCTGGAAATATAACTTATACGTACTCACAGGTCACAGTGTGACCGGTCAACAAGAGATGCTTACTCTTAGGCACCTGATCCACATCTGGAATTTCCGAGGTTCCGTGTTTTATGCCCTGTTCCGATCTTTTTAATGTTTGCAGATTTTATGAGATCGATCACGTTTCGTTATTTTCACTTTTTTCATTCTATTACATTCAACTGTAACATCTTCCCCATTTGTTCCTTTATGATACATCCGTTGTTGAAAGAAATAGAATGCCGCTTTAATCGTATAGGATCTGATGATGTGAGTTCAATCTTATACTTTACCTGTGCGGTAATTTCTTGAATATCAGTAAGAACAGCATATGAATCACAGACAGATTTCACCGATTCTAATTTATCTGCATCCAGTCCTTTACTGAAACGTACATCTGACACTCTTGCTGTCTGAGCTTCTGGTGTTCCCTCCACACTGTAGTCAATCAGTAATATGGCGCAAATTATGATAACACCACTTGTTTCTTCACGAGAAATGAACCTTTTCAACAAATTTTCTTAAGGTTCCCTGCTACACCAGCATTGTAATCCATATCGCTAGCTTTCAGTACAACTTTGTAAGGTCCTCGCCATTGCATCATAAGTTTACTTGACATTGTCGGAAGTAGAACAAGTAATTGGTAACCAGCTTTCATCCTTCTATCACTTATTTTTATGTTGTAATGTTTTCTTTGATGCTCCCTTACCAGTCTCGTCAAGCTTCTCTCTTAAGTCTAGAATGTATTGGTAGGTAGTCTTTACCCTTTTATCTAGTATTTCTTTGGCCAGTGGCTCCTTGAGTATCATCATTGGTCCACGCACCAATCGGTCATACAAAAGTTCAAAGAGTAAAAACCCAAAGCTTTCTTAAGGTATCTCGCGAAAAGCAAAGAGAAATGGGATGCGATACTCGTCCCAGTCTTTTAGACTTAAGCGCACATGCGCTTGAACATATGCTTCAACAAGGCCGTTGCACATCGGACGTTATGATGTTGTAGTTAGACTTTTGAGTGACTTAATCGGCGAAATTCTTTCATAAGCTCGAAGTAAACTGTGATCACTTGTCTTTAAGCATTTTAAAGAGAATATAACTCTACTGAATAGATCCATAAGAACTTATGTAACTCGTTCGGTTTCAATTCCATGAGTAGCACAGCTTTTGGATTTTAAAAAAATTGCTGATTTTAAAATTTGGATCAATCCCGATCAAAATTAATCAAGGTACCTGATCCCACCTCTGGTGTTTCCAAGGATCCGTGTTTTTGCCCTGTTTACGATTCCTTTTATTTACTGGTTCTATGAGACTTATAACTGTTCGTTATTTTCCTTTTACATCAATAGTAGAATTAAAAATCATTCTCATTCTACAAACAAGTACGCTGAGATTGATATTAAAAGGATGTCAAAGATCCTCATTGATAACATCTATGCAGTCTTTGGAACCAGATCTTCCACCAATCTGTTGGAATTGCGATGGGCACTAATTGTGCTACATTATTAGGTGATTTGTTTTTATTTTTATATAGAACAAGAATTTATTCAGAAACTTCTACATGGGAAAAACATTAAAATATACCACCGTCTTTTTTACCAATTTACAAAAGTTACTTTCAGTTATATGTTGACTCGATATATTCCATTGAACTTGAAATAAAAGACACTACAGAGACTGCCACATCTCTTTCATATTTGGATTTTAACTGATAGACGATAATGGCTAACCAACAACTTAATGTTTGAAAACAAAATGACTTCTGCTTTTCCATCGTCAACTTTCCTTATTTATTTACAAAAATTTCATCACCTGCCTATGGTGTTTATGTCTCCCAACCCGATACTCAAATCCATATTCTAAGTACGATCACCTTTTAAACTGAGGCAGGCTATTGATGTAAAAGGAAAATAACGAACAGTTATAAGTCTCATAGAACCAGTAAATAAAAGGAATCGTAAACAGGGCAAAAACACGGATCCTTGGAAACACCAGAGGTGGGATCAGGTACCTTGATTAATTTTGATCGGGATTGATCCAAATTTTAAAATCAGCATTTTTTTTAAAATCCAAAAGCTGTGCTACTCATGGAATTGAAACCGAACGAGTTACATAAGTTCTTATGGATCTATTCAGTAGAGTTATATTCTCTTTAAAATGCTTAAAGACAAGTGATCACAGTTTACTTCGAGCTTATGAAAGAATTTCGCCGATTAAGTCACTCAAAAGTCTAACTACAACATCATAACGTCCGATGTGCAACGGCCTTGTTAAAGCATATGTTCAAGCGCATGTGCGCTTAAGTCTAAAAGACTGGGACGAGTATCGCATCCCATTTCTCTTTGCTTTTCGCGAGATACCTTAAGAAAGCTTTGGGTTTTTACTCTTTGAACTTTTGTATGACCGATTGGTGCGTGGACCAATGATGATACTCAAGGAGCCACTGACTAAAGAAATATTAGAGAAAAGGGTAAAGACTACCTACCAATACATTCTAGACTTAAGAGAGAAGCTTGACGAGACTGGTAAGGGAGCATCAAAGAAAACATTACAACATAAAAATAAGTGATAGAAGGATGAAAGCTGGTTACCAATTACTTGTTCTACTTCCGACAATGTCAAGTAAACTTATGATGCAATGGCGAGGACCTTACAAAGTTGTACTGAAAGCTAGCGATATGGATTACATAGCTGGTGTAGCAGGGAACCTTAAGAAAATTTGTTGAAAAGGTTCATTTCTTGTGAAGAAATATAGTGGTGTTATCATAATTTGCGCCATATTACTGATTGACTACAGTGGGGAGGAAACACTAGATGCTCAGACAGAAACATTGTCAGATAAACGTTTCAATAAAGGACTAGATGCAGATAAATTAGAATCGGTGAAATCTGATTCATATGCTGTTCTTACTAGGGTTCCCGAAATTACCGTACAGGTAAAGTACAGATTGAACTTCCATCATCGGATCCTATACCACTGAAGCGGCATTCTATTCCTTTTAACAACGGATGTAACATAAAGGAACAAATAGAGAAGATGTTAAAGTCGAATGTAATATTATGAAAAAAGTGAAAATAACGAAACGATCGATCTCATAAAATCTACAAAATAAAAGATCGGAACAGGGCATAAAACACGGACCCACAGAAATTCCAGATGTGGATCAGGTGCCTAAGAGTAAGCATCTCTTGTTGACCGGTCACACTGTGACCTGTGAGTACGTATAAGTTGTATTTCCAGAGGTAGAATTAAAATGTAAATCATATATGGTACCAATTTTGATGCACCAGATGCGCATTTCGACAATGTGTGTCTCTTCAGTGATGCTCAAGCTGAAACGTTGGAAATCCAAAATATTTAAATAAAAAAGATTTTGAAGAGCTGAAAAAAGGGTGCCAAAAGTTCTTCTAAAATACAGTTATAATAATGAGCCTTACAAACAAAGAAGATACTGTTACAAGCCTTATCTGCTGGAGCAATCTGTTTCACAACACTCATCATCGATAATTATAGCCATGAAAAAGGATGGATCAAGCAGATGCTGCAAAGACTTTTATAGACTAAACTCTATTACTGATTTTGATGCCGAGTCTATGCAGAACACAGAAAGGCTCTAGACTGATGTTATGCTAAGACCCAATTTTGAAGCTCCGAGAGACTTCAGGGAAACATTCATTCTACAAACTGATGCTCAGGATAACGGTGAGGAGCAATTCTTTTACAGACGAACATGGAGAAAAGTTCCCAAATTGTATATGCAAGCAAGAAGCTGCAACAAGATAAAGATCCTTAGTATTATAGAAAAAGAATGTTTAGCACTAGTATGGGAAATTTAAAAGTTCCATCAATATCTATATGGACGCTAGTTTGTATTGGAAACCGGCCATCAGCCACTAACATGCCTGATCAAGTCAAAAACTGAGAACTCTGGGTTAATGCGCTGGCCTCTACGATTACAACCTTATATCGGCTATCAAGGGAAGTGAAAAAGTTGATGCAGACTACCTTAGTCACCCAGTGATCACATAAAGACAGAAAAGCCTGGTTTGTATTCAGTTTTATAAATACGTTCATTTTATTTCTAAATTGTTACACAAGTTGATAGTGTTTGTTGTGTCTACAAAATGTTACCAATCGTTTATTATGTTGGAGGTGTGTAACAATCTGTTGAAATATTTCTTATGTAATGTTAAGAGGGTAAAAAAACTAATTTTTGTAGTCTGAAAATTTTCAAGTATAGCAAAGCTATACCCTAAGCTATAGATTGTGATATCCAACCTTCGAAAAATTCTCATTCAATTTGGATTGGTTGCAACTTCTCCAACACCGAAGATTTCCACAAAGCTATTCCCTGGGGTAATCCACCACAGAAATTATAATATACATTATTATAATAAAAAGCTTATCCACCGCCTGTGAGTGGGATAGCTCTTTCGTTAAACCCTTTACAGAAACAATCCCCCTCGGGGAAGAGTTTCTGTTGCGATTTTAATAAGAGAGCTATCCCACTGGCAGCCTATGGATAAGTGTATACTATTTCAATTGTTCCTCTAATGTGTATTTCCTGCGTTTTGTGCCTATGCATTACATTCCCATAAGTCTTTGTAACTTAAATTAGCTGACCAGAAAAGTTGCAGACTGGTCATTTCCGACAGAGAAGCTGCAGACAAGTTTCTGTATTTGAAGCAACTGGTACCTGTACATGTATAGCGGTCATGCATTACTTTGACTTTGGCACGGAAACAGGTCCGTGCGTCAAGAATATTGGTATGACCTTGATACATCGTCAAGACTAAGCTGAGAGGATCATTTTAACACAACAAAGTAGTAACCGGGCTCCTGAAGGCGACTGTGTGGATGTAAAGGTCTGAGTGTTGACGTTGATAACAGATAAGTTTACCAAAATAAAAAAACATTTTGTGCTTTAGAAGTGACGAAATGGCAAACTGGATATTATTCCATTTCTGCATTGACGATGATGATAACTTTGATGATGAACAAAATTGCTATGACGATTTCATTGGGGAACTTTATCTTTAAATTTTTTTCTCAAGAACAGCTAAGCCATTATTAATCATATTAATACAGAAGTGTCCTCAGGTAGTGTATATTCAAGTTTGTTCAAATCATTAACCCCGGGAGTGCGGCGGGGCCAAAACAGTGGGTCATGGTTTTACATACATAGGAATATATAGGTGTAATGGTTTAGGGGTATTTGAGTAAAACCCATTGGAGACTTCAAATAATGGAATGATCTGACAACCCTTGGAATGAACTAGTCAAACCAAAGGATATATAAGGCAAAGCTTAGGGAAAGTCAGGCATTCAGAAGCTAGCTGAAGAAGATGGATGTTGAATCATCAATACAGATGTTAAGGTATTCCATCCCTAATAGCAACCGATTCAATGAAATTGATTACATAGCAGATGTGTAGATGTTGAATACTCAGTATATTTAGACATAATTCACATTTATTACTATTAGCATGTAAGGGTGGGATGTGTCTTAATTGATGACCTTGAATTTTGGTAAGAGTTATCTCCCTCTGTTTTTAAATAATAAAAAGATCAATTTAAAAAAAACTTATCTGGTAAAAAAAAAGTTTTCAATAGTCATTCTATTTCTAATGTTTTAATTCATCTTTCCATCACAGTATTTATTGATATTCTTTTTATTGATTTTTTTTTTAAAAAAAAATCGCTTGTCCCCATAGACTTCAATGCGATCTTTGTTAATTAATTACTGCTTAGTTAATTAATTACTGCTTAGTTAATTACATTTATGAAACTTTCTCTTGGTAAATCCTTTTCTACAGAAAAATGCTTCAAATTAATATCAGAGTATTATGTATGTGATGGCTATTTAAGGATAGAGGGTGGAAAACCTTAAGGGTAAGAGCAAAATGATAGTATAAAAGTTATAAACAACAGTGGCAAGTACCTAAGGAATTGATGTTAAGTTCTGGGTGTAGTAAATCTGAAGAAGATTGAGACAACTGTTCTTATCTATCAATGGGAACCTAGAGGAGAAACACGGTGCAAGTAGTACCTTACCCAGTCCCCGTCTCTAGATTAGAGAAAATTTAAGTACTGTGTGGTATACCCTCAGACAGAGCTGTCTTAATAATCATTCCAGTCATTAACTCAGACAGAGGAAAAGAAAAACCTATATATCCCTTGTAAGATCCTAATCATACACGTTACACAGGAAATATCTTTGAAATCTTCTTCTCAAAAACAACTAAGCCCCAGAGGTTAGGAACAACAGAGGGTTAAAGTTTTTGAAAAAATCTTCTGCTCAAGAACAGCAAAGCCAAGATTAGTCATATTATTATAGAAGCAGCCCACCCCCTGTTCAATGCTGAACTGATTTCTGATTCTTCCTAGCCAATGTGCTCAGGTGAACGATGTGGTCCATGGGCTTCTTGTTTGAGAAGCTCCATTCTATTTGCAGAAATAGTTCCTTGCATCATAGGTTCAATTTCTGATTGTTTATAACCTCTTTTTCCAAATGAATTTTGAAATCTTTAAAAATAACCTGCAGTACAGCTTGATCACTAGTATTTCTCAGATGTCTGGTACATTCTCCTTTAAATAGGCCCTTGAAAACTGATGGACTATGAGCAATTTGCCTGTGCAGGTATTGGAAGCTTTTATAGTAGGTTTGATATATGAGCAAATGTCTAAACGCTGGCTAGCTGAGAATCTTGTTCCTTTGTAAATGGTAGTGTCTAAAAAATTGACATTGGTGTGAGATATTTAATAAGTATATCTCAAATATTTCTGACAAGAGTTCCCTATGTCAAAAAGACCTTTAATTTTATCCGGGCTTCCATTAAATAGAATAAAGCCGTCATCTCTAAATCTGCCGTGATAAATAAGTTTGTCGGCATGTTGAAATTTAGATATTACATCATCAGTGATATCATTCATACGTATATCTGTAATTTCTGGTGACGGGCATGTCCCAATCGCGGCGCCTATTATTTGTTTGTAGTATCGTCCATTGAACTCGAAAACATTATTTTCAAGTATACATCTGAGAAAGAAGATAAGATCAGAACTGCAAGGTCGAGCTAATTCTAGATTAGAATTCTCTGCTAAATACACTTTCTCGACAGAATATTGTAATTCAAATTCCATGTTGATGTACATGCTAGTCACATCATAATTAACCAGGATGACATTTTCAGGTACAATCAGAGATTCGATTTTTAGTATAAAATCCGACGTGTCTTTGATGTATGAATTTTCTATTTCTGAACAATGGGCACAAGGAAATGATCACAGTAAGTGACCTATGTTTTCCGTTGGTGTGCCGCATTGAGTTTGACTCGATATATCCCAGTGAGCTTGAAATAAAAGATACCACAGGTTCTGACACTTCTGTTTCATATTTAGATATTTTACTAGAAAAAGACGTTAATGGTAACCTAACAACAAAGCTTTATAATAAACGTGATGACTTCAACTTTTCGATCGTCAATTTCCGTTACTTATGTAGCAATATACCCTTATCACCTGCATATGGGGTTTATGTCTCTCAGTTGATTCGATACGCAAGAGTATGCGCTATGTATGAACAATTTTTAAAACGAGGCAAGCTATTGACAAACAAGTTGATGAAACAAGGATATCAACAGTCTCGTTTGAAGTAATCTTTTCGCAAGTTTTACGGTCGATACAATGACCTTGACAGCACATACAACCCATCATTGAGTCAAATGCTGACTGACGTTTTTCATACTAATTGTTAGGCCATTATTTATACACTGAACTGTCTACAGATTTCTCCGTTATTACCCGATCATGACAAAGAGCACACGGAGGATGTGACCGGTCGGCAGGGGATGCTCTCTCCTCCATGGCACCTGATCCCACCTCTACATTTTGAGGTCCATGTTTGCTCTGCTTCAAATTTGTATCGTTTCATTGTACTTTCGGGATTGAATACGTTTCGTTATCATCATATTTCATTAAGCGATAATTGGCCGACCAGGCGGAATTTTTCGGAGGCTGCATTGGCCTTTTAAAAGTGCACCAGGCACTTGCTTGTTTATTTTATACACTTTAGGGAGCAAATACAGACTCTCACATTTCAAATTGACATTTTTAAGTGCTTAAAAACCGATAGATTTCCTTGTCTAAAGTTTTGTATGTTTCATACCAATTATTAGGTCATTGTTTTTATACTAAATTTGACTAAGGAATTATTCGTCAAACTGATCAATACATAGGGCTTACGGCAGGTGTGACTGGTCAACAGGGGATGCTTATTCTTCTAAGGCAACTGACCCTCTCCTGCAATTTCCAGACGTCCGTGTTTTATGTCCTGTTCAGAAATCTGTATTGTAGACAGTTTTTTTTTTTTGAGAAAAATCACTATTTATAATCTTCATCCTTTTTTCATTTCTAAGGTAAAGACCAAGGCTAAAGTTTTCTTTCAAGAAGAAATGGTAATGTACATTTTTATTGAATAAGAATGAGACTCGACATGTAAGCCATATATTGTATGTTGTTTAACTTCCATTCGAGAATTTTTCACTCATATAGATACGTCACCATATACCGGTGAAGAGTTTCAAATTTTTGACCTTTACTCGGCACTTAGGGCCATTGAGCAGTAAGGGATCTTTATTGTGCCAACGCCAGCCGTGACACGAGGCCTCGGTTTTTAAGGTCTCATCCGAAGGGCCAGCAACTTTCACTTGAAAGTGCCGAGCACATGGCGAAGGAACAGTTGCTACCCATTTTTTATCGACTTGGGTCAGTCGCGGCCGAGATTCGAACTCACGACCCCCCGATCACGGAGCGAGCGCTCAACCGACTGAGCTACCGTGAACGGTAAGCAATATTAGCCAATAGTGTTATTTAATACATATTTAGAACCAATTACACCACTAGAATTGAAATAAATCTATCTAACCTGAGATCGATGAAGAGATTTGCATCTCTGTGGCTGTTGGTTGCATACCTCCAGTCAGTTAACTAAATGAATGATGCATAGGATAGTGCAATACTGGCAATGTATTCTTCTCGGTTTCATGAAGGGTAATTTAATTATTTTCATTTTTGTCAGTATTATTATTATGATCACCATCATTTTGCTTTGATTGTTCACGAGAAGTGTCAGTATTAAATCAGCATTTACTTGTTTTGTAGAATGTTTTGGAATATATGTTTGGAAAGTTGTACCGCGTTTGAATGGTCGTGGTGTTGGTGAGATTCCTATTTTTACTGAGATGAATCACACAGCCTCTTCTTGTGCTCTTAAATGTCAAATCATATTTACATGTAAACACTTCCGACACAATGGAGTCACCACTGAGTGTGCTTTATACGATGGGGAGGGATACAGAGCAGTGACAGATGTAACTGGGAACCAGTTTTATCAGAAGATGCCAGACGGTAAGAGTATATATCTTAAATTGTAAAATAATAACTATCGTACACTAAATATGATGTTGCTATGTGTTATAAATAGTCATTAACTACAAATATATATCTGTTTAACTATGAGAATTTATATTTGGTTTGGTGCTTTTTAGGCACTTGTGATGGATAAGCCGTTATCTTTTTACCAACTTAGGAAGGATCTATGTTTTCTAGGCGCATCTTCCAATTCTATTTTTTGTTACTTTACTTCATAAAATTCATAAATTTGAAAAATTGAATGGGAATTGGGAATCAGGACACTGTGGATCCCTCGACAAGATTCTCTACTTGAATACCATACTTTAAATTGCATGACATTGAACATGTCTTTTAATCTTGTTTGCCCGTAGTCTAGGTAAGTTTCACTTTTATGAGAGTATTTTCTCCATACGAGTAAGTTTCACTTTTCTTACTGTTCACAGATTGTGTGGCCGGACGTGATGAATGGTTTCCTGAGTGGAGGTCGTGTATTTTGATCAAAACTGATTGGCTGCCTTATGAAGAGGCCAAAAAGAAATGTGAATTGGAAATCAGAACTATGATGGGGGCAAAAAATTTTACACAGATTCAAAATTTGATGGACTCTCTTGGCTTCAGTAGGTTTGAAACAGTTAAATTATTGTATGCAAGGAAGTTTACCCATATTTTTAATTTTTTGTAAATGTTCAATAAATTATGTAATTTTCCCCTTTATAGAATGGATTCATGTCTATGCTCGTCGAACAGGGACTGACTCCTACGAGTGGTTTGATCGTACCCCAGTTACAGAAGGATGGTGTCTCGCTCAGCCGGATAGTAATACTGGCTGTGTTGGAGTCGATCTCAGTAAATCGTGGTGTAGCAAAGGAGGACTGGACGACTTCCCCTGTACAGACCACAGACAGTTTCTGTGTGCTTAAAAAAGATACAAATAGTATTACTTCTAATATCTGATGTGGAGGGAGGTTGTGTAACATTGGAGAGTTTTTATGTTGATTGTTTCATCACATTTTTACCAGCAAGGCTATCAACTGAGCCTGAAAAGGATATTTTAATGTTTTCTTCTATTCAAAATTGTATTATATTTCGACAACATTTTTAATGAAGTAGTTTAGTGAGGTGGAATGCCTAAACACCTGATGTACATTTATTCTTACTTTCTGTCAACTTTGGTTTTTAATAAGAACATCATTGAATAATCCTCAAATAAGCATTGTGTACATGATTGATTGATTGGTTGATTGTATATGTTGTTTAACGTCCCATTCGAGAATTTTTCACTCATATAGAGACGTCACCATATACCGGTGAAGGGCTTCAAATTTTGACCTTTACTCGATACTCAGGGCCATTGAGCAGTGAGGGATTATTATCGTGCCAACGCCAGCCGTGACACGGGGCCTCGATTTTTAAGGTCTCATCCGAAGGACCCGCAACTTTCACTTCAAAGTGCAGAGCGCATGGCGAAGGAACAGTTGCTACCCATTTTTTATCGACTTGGGTCAGTCGGGGCTGAGATTCGAACTCACGACCTCCCGATCATGGAGCGAGCGCTCTATCCATTGTGTACATATATGTATTATGCTTCATTTTTAGATCAATGGATTACATTAACATGCAAAGACTTTGAAGAATTTTAAAAATCCTGAGCTTGTCTGTCGTGTAACTTATTTTGTAGACTATTTGTCTTGTTACAAGTATTCAACATTTTGATAGAACAAAGATGTCTGGTTTGCAATCCTTTAGTAGAGACCTTTTCTTTTGTTGTCCATAAAAAATATCTCTTTATCTGCTTTATTTCATAATTTCATATCTTCATTTAGAGTCAAAATCAGCAAGCATCAAGCATTTAGTTAAAAAATGTGGAAAGTGGAATAAAAATAAATTTGGTAAAAACTTCTGTAAAAATTTCAGAACAAAGGGTATGATAAAAAAAGCAACTAAAAATGATTTTGCGCATTGTTGCTTTGGAAACCACGCGCGTTTCAGAGAGCGTGCTTTGCACTTTAGAATAACACTATAATTTATATTTCTGTAGGTAAATTTCTATTACTTTTCTTTAAAAATGCTTATTAAATCATTTTTTATTCATATAAATACACTCTTGTTTAACCACTATTAATTATTGAAATTCTCCTCACCTTTTGATAAATATAGTAGTTTTTCGAGGTTAATTTTGCTTCAATAAACCAGCCATATGCAAAATTGAAGCACTTTATAAAAATCTACAACCGCATTGAAGCCTATCAACATAAAACATTTATTTTACAGCTTTTGTTCTAGAGGAATCAAGAAAAAAATCCATAAGCAACTTAAACATCTATGTATAAAAACCGATTTATAATAATTCAAAACCGATCCGTAACTTTCTGTCACTTTTATTTCGAATTATCTCCCTTTTGGTATAGCTCTCTAACATAGGAGGTAAAAACGGTGTTTTGCTTAGACTGTTTTCAATGACAATGCACAGAGGACTAGCAGAAAATTACACACTTAGAGCGGACTAGGCCTCTGTTTTGGCGTCATTATGATTTTAATAATTTAATTTCGATAATGTTAGTATTTTGCATTTTATAAGTATAAGAAAAGAGATTGATGTTGAAATGTAAAATAATTGGTCAGTCACCTCATTGTACCCCAAATTATAGAGTCTAATTATAATGTGATTTTCACGGTATGCATATTACCATAGTCACTCCCTAGCTTATGATAATTAGTAGGGTAACCTAGATCAAAGCTCGTTGCAAAGCACGGAGTAGGTCTTCCGTTGGAGCTGCGGACGGCTAGGGTCAAGGTCATTACACTTTCTTTAGTAAAAAGCAATCTCGAATGAAGTATAAACTTCCAATGTTTCACCAGTAGAAAGACGGTAGACAAATTTACAGTTTCTCTTATGTTTTTCTTGAACTAGGAGGAATGACCTTGGGTCAAGACCATTACACACCCTCGGATCATTATCAATCTTTGTTCCAAGTATGAGCTTCCAGTTTCTCCATAACAAAGTTATAGCCCGGGCAAACTTGCTTGGACAGAAGGACAGCTAGACAAATGGACGGACAGATGGACAATGTGATTACTAAATACCCCCAAGCGGGGAAGATAAATTCCTATGCTAAATTTTGATCACCATTCTGGTCACAATAATCTCCCTGTGGTCAAGATTTGAAAAAAAAAATGAATCTATACTATGCCAGGAAGCTTTCATATAAGTCTTCGTCATTCTGCCCATTGGTTCTTGAAAAATATGTTTTCAAATGAACCAACCCAATCTTTACTCTTTATAAAAAATAGGTAGTGCCTTTCTCTCGGAATTCATTTGCGTCTGTAAAACTCCACCCTCACTTACACTTACCTGAGTAAAACCAAGGATTGTAAACTTTGGCTCTGAAAGAAAGCATCTTATTTATTTCGGGGAGGGGGATACGTATAGTGATGAGAGGAAATTTAATAACCTATTAGTTCATTCAATATGAAAGATTGTTTGGAATATTTGTTTACATTTGGACGGCCTGCGTACTAATTTATAAACATTAGTTAATGTCAACAAAGAACCAAATTAATATTTGTTAGATAAATTAAATAATTATTTAACTGTTTGAGGTTTATATCATATAATGTATTTGTAAGAACCACTTTATTTATAAAACATTTTCGACCTATGGTTGCCCTATTTTTAACAGGCTGTTTAGTTACATATTTTTATCAATATTAGCGAAGTGCAAAATATGCGAAATTGGCCAATGCAGACGTTTTAAAAAATTCTGGTCCTGATCTAAAACACGTTGACAAACCCAAACCACGCAGTGAAATGAAAAAGTTTGTTCATTGAAGATACTTTAAAATGTCCGACATTTTTCAAACACGTTCGGTATAATTTACTAATCTCTTTTTTCGTTTAGGAGGAACGCATGGACGAAGGATAAAAGAAAAAAGTGCTGATTGTACAAGTACATATCACAGCTATCGTGTACTCGGATTTAATCCCAAATCCTTCGTTATTTGTGATTTTATTTTCACTTTTTGATCTCAGACGGACATTCATTTATTTCTAGTTTTTTTTATTTAAAGTCAATGATTTTATAAAGACATATTTTTTTTATTTTTCTGGGTTTTTTTTACTTCCTTGTGATTTGCACGTTTGCTTTGTACACAAGTGTGTGTACATACCGCTATTCATACGCGCTCTCAGTGAGATCAGAGAAAACAAGGTGTCCCCCAGCAATTTATTTCTTATTATGAAAACACTCAATTAAAACATATTAGGTGAAAATAGAATTTAGAATATATGTGATGTCACCAACCGTAATGATGACTGACCAGGAGGACTTTAATAACACGTTACACTGTATCAGCTTAGCGGATCGATAATTTAAGTACTTCAAAATGAACGGTAAATCAATAATTAAAAAAACAATTTTAATTTAATTGATATTATATTGTAGAGACATTGATAAATGGTAAGTCAATAATTAATAAACAATTCTAATTTAATTGATATTTATTGTAGAATATGGAGAAACATGCACTAGGGAATTTCCTATTTTCTTTCTATTCTGATAGCTCGGAATGTATATGTTTTGGGTGTTCTTCCATATAAATATTTACGAACATGTAAGCTTAAAGTCGTGTCATGGGAATATTCTGTTAATTAGACGAAATAAAGGAAAGCATAAGTTTATCATTCTGTAAAATACAATCATAAGTTAGGTAGAAATTAATGCAAACTCAAAAAGTACTTTATTTTATTTTCGATTTTCCTGACAATTGGAAATGTCACATCCACTTACAATTATACATAAGTTTTGTGATCTTGAAACAAACAACTCGATAAATTGTTTCCTAAAAATGCAAACCTAGTGGCTTAGCCGGCATTCAAAATGCAAAAGTCAAAATAGAATTTGAAACGAACAAATGTACAGATATTATACCAAGACAAGAAAGTTTGAACTTTTCTGCCAGTGTCCTTGAACTTGCAAGAAAGACCATGGGTCAAGATCATGACAAACTCCTGAAATATAAGCAATCTCTGTATCAAGTAAGAGATTTCAGTGATTTTCTATTTAAAAGTGACCTTGAATTTTCCAGAATAACCTTGGGTCAAGATCGGGACAAACCCTCGTTATCAATCAATCATTCTTTTAAGAAAAGGCTTCCAGTGATCCCCCCTTAATAATATTTAGCCAAGACAGGAATTTTACAACTCTTTCTGCCAGTGACCGTGAACTTGCCGGAATGACCTTAATTAATTTAAAATCATCTCAAACCGGCGGATCATAAGCAATCTTTGTACCAAGTTTGAGTTTCCAAAGTTATAGCACAGATAGTAATTTTACATTTTTCTGTCAGTGACCTTAATTTGCTAGAATAACCTTGTGTCAAGGCACACCACCGGATTATAAACAATTTCTGTACCAAGTTTGAGCTTCCCGTCATTCTCCATTACAAAGAAATATGTGGAGATAACGAACAGTATTCGAGTTCAAAAGTCCATTAAACATTACAAAATATGAGCAGAGCAAACACGGACCTCTAAAACTTCAAAGGTGGGATCAGGTGCAATGGAGGAGTGAGCATCCCATGCATTGCCGACCGGTCACACCCGCTGTGTGCTCCTTGTCTTGAGCGGGAAATAACGGAAAAATCCGTCGACAATTCAATGTGTATATAATGGCCTAACAAATAGTATGAAAAAAGTCAGCCAGCATTTGACTTAATGATAGATTGTATATGCTGACAAGGTCATTGTATCGACCATAGAACTTACGAAATGATGACTTTAAACGAGACAGTTGATATTCTTGTTTATCAACTTGTTTGTCAATAACTTGCCTCGTTTTAGAAATTGTTCATAAGCAAAGCATGCTCTGGCGTATTGAATTAACTGAGAGATATAAACCCCGTATGCAGGTAATAAGGGTATATTGCTGCATAAGTAAGGGAAGTTGACGATTGAAAAGTTTAAGTCATCACGTTTATCATAAAGCTTGGTTGTTAGATTACCATTAACGTCTTTTTCTAATAAAATATCCAAATATCAAACAGATGTGTCAGACTCTGTGGTATCTTTTATCTCAAGCTCATCGGGATATATCGTGTCGACATAAGAACGGAAATAATGTACTTGACCAGCAAAATATTCAACATACGGTCTAATAAATGTAATTTTAGCAATTATATAGTAGAATCTATATAGGTTAGCAGCACTTTTCACAAAC